GGAGAGCCTGCAACAGGTTACATTAACTGGGAATTGGCTTGTGTCACATTACACCGGCAACGCGGAGGGTTACGAGTTCCGACGAAGGCCTCAATCATTTTTAGCCGTCTTTACAACTGTGTAAACTACAAACACAACTACGACTATAATTTTTCATGTCCACCTCACAATTAAGAGGTTTGATATGTCTCAAGTCCTTCCCCAACCATCCCCTCCCCCCACACACCAACACCACTAAGCCTTGTCTTGAGAAAGACAAACCAATACTTTAAACATAATATATACCCTGTACCTGTTGAGCGACAAGTTTGTGACAGCTGACCAGTAGCTCGTGGGCTTCGGGCATGAGAACCAGTTGAGTGTAATGAGCGTTTAACAGCAGTCCTGCCCAGTCCAACACCTACAAAATAGGTGAACTATAAAGATCGACACACACAAGGGGACATGTCGCAGTGACAGTTTCCCTCGTGTAACATGTCCTTTTATTCGAAAAAGTCTTGTTGCGGAGACAAACTTTTCTCCCCGCAACCTGTTGCATGAATATCAGCTGGTTTGAAATCGTTCGCCATGAAGCAGGGACAAAATGACCTCACTTTTAACTTTTTAATATTGCATCTTGTGCGCTGCTCTTACAAATTGTCCCCGCTAAAACACATCTTAACACTTCAATCTGTTTTATGTGCACCAACTGGCGTACTGTCTCTGCAACATGCTTCCTATGCGTACACACGAAGAGGCTTGTCCCCGCTTCACGTCCCCACATCATGTCCCGTAGCGTTTGTCGTCCTAAACTTTTTATGATAGAATTTATAACTGGAAAGCTGAGTACATTACCAAAGGTTGCAATTATGGGTTTGCTACTAAGAAGGACATTGTTCCGCACTTTGAACCTGGCCTTTCTGCACTTTAATATCTTATGCAATAACAACTGGGGGTGATTTTCAAGGAATGACAACAGAACAAGCAGTTTTACCTGTGGGTATTTCAGTGTGTTACAATCCACTTCATCGTCGAAGCCTGTCAGACCATGATACATGAGGTACATAAGAAACTTCAACAAGAGCTTGAAAATAATAAAAAAAATCATTGAAAGAAAGTTAGAGCCGGTTAAAGAAGCAGCTGAGAAAAAAAAACACACAATAGGACACCGCCATTGTTAATTAGCACCACTAAAGGAAGCCACTTACTAGAGCGTTTTCAAAGGAGAGTTTCTTTAAACTAGTCTGGAGGAAAATATCATTTACAGGGTAGCTTAATATTGAGCAGCTGCAGTTGTTAGTTAAGGAGAAAATACTGCACCTAAAAAAGATGTGGACGATACAATAGTAATTTCCAGGCTAACTACCAAATGGACAAGCAACAATAATGAATGATTTAAGTGTCTGCTTTCAGATCTTTTTAAAGTGACCTTGCTTAGTGTTGGGTCCTTATGTACTTATATTACAGAATATCATAAACTACCACAAGTAAAATGAGTAATAGCCTTTTCCTGAGAATGAAATGGCAGCGGAAATACTCACTTGATGAAGGAGGAATCAAAGGAACACGTAGGGACTGTGCGAGAGACTACTACCTCCCCCCTGGCTGGGGCCGGGGGTCCACTACTGTCACTCAAGGGGCTGCCGCTGAATTCTCACCAACCTGACTAATGATTTAGCCGAGGGTCATTCTATTTCGAGAGGAAAGGTTACGATTGAAACGATATAACACTGGCATTTCATTTTCCAGAGTTTCTTTCAATGTAATGCTGCTAGCACCTTGGCAAGAGATAAAGTTAGGGGGTGGTAAGGTAGCAATCACGAGGTTCTTTTCTAGCATTTCAAAAACGCCCGTATACGACAGATTCGCGTCCAAACAAACACACAAAGCTTGTGCGTAAAGAGTCAGACTTTAACCCAGCTCTGAACACGCGCAGCTTTTATTACTTAAATAATGTGTATTTTAGGATACAGGTACTTTGCCGCTGTCTTGCCCAGTGGCATCCGGCGAAAATTGTCATCTTCTTGTGATTCTTCTGGGATATTTTGACTTGACTCTTTAGGGAGTATTTGATCTTCTGGGCTGTAGGGAGGAAGACAAGGGATCAATTCCTTTCAGCAATTGGCAAATTGAAAGTAGAGAAGGATTAAACGACGCCGTCCTCCGCATCTCCAATTTCTAGTGTAGGGAATTTTAAGGAAAAGAACAAACCTCAAAATGTGGCGTACACAAAGGACGATGGTATCTTCAGAGATCCCCTTAATGTTCTCGTAGCACTCTCTAAGAAGCTCCTACATGAAAAAAAGAAAAAAACAATCGCAGTTAGCGTACTTACATAGACAGGATAAAAAAAAAACCTTTCCTTGCAAGCGCAATTCTTTCCTCTCCAGAGAGACGCGAACTGGACACGAAAAATTTCATATTCATAACACTATCGTTTTCCCCAAAGCTAGTGAACAATTCCACAGGGCCATGTTGAATCATTCACGATCCATCAAAATTTTCAACAGGCCCTATCTGAAGTGAGCTTGACAAGCTGACTGCCGATAACTCGAATTCACTTCCGTTTTGAATATCGCGACCTAACTTCCGGTAAGACAGGGTCGACTGGATAAAGAGCCGACCCGACTCAGGTCGGGTGCATTGGACATGAGTGGAATCGAGTGCTGTCCAGTTTGGGAAATGATTGGATAGTTACTTTCAAACAAATATGAATTTTACTTAAAATTGACTTACTTACCAAATCGTTCTTTTCTACAACACAATCCAAAAGTTCTTTACTGCAGCTATAAAATCAAAACAACACACATAAAAATCTAGCCTAGAGTCAAATCTGCTCCCACAGAGGACTTAATTCTCGAAATCTCATGAAAACTTTTCACTTGCGTTTGCAGGATCCGATTGCAGTCTTACATGTCTTTAGGTTTTTCTTCTACTCCAATGACCCGAGTTATCAACACAACGCTTTCTTTGCACGCTGAATTCAAGAAATCCACAACAGAGACTTCTTTGATTCTTCCTTAAAAATTGCATACTGATGACGTTGTTCCTTACACACTAGTGTAATGCCTCTGATTGGTTGTTACTTTCGCGCGAAAATTCAAAACTGCGCAACAACCAATCAGAGACGCCACCCGGATCTCTGTGGAGCTACGTCATCAGTATGGAATCTCTGACCTCGCCACCTCGATCCCAGACTCTTCCTCCATTGCCTCCTTTGTTTGAGGAGACAATGGAGGCTAAGCCAAAAGGAGAGAGAGAGAGAACTTGGGATCGAGGCTGTGATGCCCCTCGCTCGGGAAAATATTTAGCGCGAGAAGATAATTTTGTCTTTTTTCAGTGATACTAGCCAATTAAAGTTAACCAACTACTAGTGATATCACCTTTACCTTACCTGGGTGGTACACACTTGGTTTTGACAAGTTCAGATACCGATTTTCTTGCCCAAAAATTTTTCTCGTTGATACATCTGGACAGAACACTGGTAATAAAATGTTGAGATAGAACTTCTGTCTTCTTACCAAACTAAAAAGAAACAAAACAAAAAAAAACTCGGACTTAGAGTTGGTTATTCTTTTTTTAATATTGTCCTAACCATTAACATGTTATCTATCTTTTTCGTGTGGTAACCTGACCCATAATTAAAATGGAGGGTTCTAATAACTTGAAGTCCCCTGAGGCTGCGTCCAAGCACTACGCCAGAGTAATTTGACAACGCAGCTTTATTTCTACGGTTAGGCCTACCGTCCATACTAATCTGTCACGAAAACGGAGCTTTCGAAAACGTTCTTCAAACCGGAGGAATCCGAAAACACCGGCTTTGCGTTTTCGTGTGGACGGAAAGCACTTTGAAAACGGAGCTTTTCGAAAACGATTGCATCACGAGTCACGTGATTACCCTGACGCTCTTTTCCTCAAACACAAATCCAAAATGAGCGGTGATTGTTGCTTTTTCCAATTTTTCCGGTCTAGTGTGGACAGAAAACATTTGATACGTTTTCATAGTGAAACTTCCGTTTTCAAATTTCTCCGGCGTAGCGTGGATGGGGCCTAAAACGCTGCTTTGATACAAAGAATTGATATGTTAAGTTTGGAATTCAAAGGGAACGGAAGTCAGCTGTTGCAACTAGAATTTAAACAATTTTATTGTCTTTTATCGTCTGACATACCTTGCCTTGAAATGGCACGTTTGACGCTTTGCCGGATTCTGATGCTGAGGTTGAAGCTTCAGCTTTGCCATCTGCAAGAAAGCGTGATTAAATGTAGTTAGAAATATAAACTGTCTTTGTTTAGACACTTTTCAAAATAAAAGAAGTTATATAGGCTGGGAATTGGAGAACAAGTGTTGCATCGCTTTTTGAGAAAACTTGGCAGAACTTAGAGTTTCCGAATCTGATTCTGAAACCAAAACTAAAAGAAAAGCTGAACTTCTCTACAACGGTCTTTCAAGGACTGAATTAACGGCCTGTTGCCGAGAGGTCTTAATAAAAATAAGGTGTATCGATTGGCGTACGATGAGGTGCTAAATCTTGGCCGATATTACGTGGTAAACGTTTATAGAGGACTCCACGAAAAAGAAGATCCATGACCTTATTATTTTGGTCTCACTGTATCAGTGTACATACCTTGTTTGGATAGCTTTAACTTCATGTAATTTTCCAGTTCTGCAGAAAATGTATCAAGCGTCGGAGTCTTAACGAGAAAGGAGGACAACATAGTTTTAGTCAAGTTTCAAATGTTTAGGTACAAACTTACAAATTGACGTAACATTTGTACAACGTAAAAAGAATACCAATGACTGTTTAACACAAATTTGCTGTAACATATTCAAACTCACCAGTTAACTTTTCATTTCTATTTAATATTTTAAGACCATCCCAAAACTCACTTTTACATGGAGGCGTTAGATGTAAAGTTCACAGTATGTTTACAATAATTAATTTATCAGAAACTTGTCAAGAAATGTACCTTAAATGGATCTGTTAACTTTTGCAGCACTTCTTTTTCAACTTGATCCTCCTTTACAATTAACTCTGACCAACTCTGAAGAGCCTGCAAAAATCAACAAACTATGAGTACACGATATTTCAGAGGGAGCACATAAAAAGGTTGAGGATCCTTGTTGTCTCGTTCAAGCATTTTGGTCTCACTTAGGGTGTGTGGAACAATATGCCATGCACTCGAAGAAATAATAAAACCATAGAAATTTCAGTTTTCAGTGTTATCTTTTTGGGGTTGAATAAAGCTTGAGCAATGTCCAGGTCGGTCTCTTTTAGGGGTTACATTCAAATTTTCTGACAAGCATCGCCGACTTTTTCTTATGGTAGTCCTCCAGCGCAACACCTTAAACAAGCCTAATGTTTACGATCGATGCCAAAATCCACTACGCACCTCGCCTGGTCTTGCTAGCTTTGGTGTAACAAGTAACTCTGGTTTTGAAGTTTCATCTATTAGAAACCTGAACAAAAACAAAATACCCAGTAAACAGTACAATGTTTTTGAGAATGCGTGAGTTCAAGATAACATGAAATTACTAATGCAAAATCCCTGGTTAGCTTAAATAGGAGAGTAACTTCTAATAGTTTTAAAATAAGCACAGAACAGGTGCAGCTTCAGATGTTCTTGTGGCTCATCACACACTTCCCAATTGTGCGCCGAGCCCTAAGGGCATCTTCGCAGGACGTTAACCAGGTACTGTGTTTAACATCAAATTGAATTTTTAAATAAGCCAATGTTTATGCCAGGGAATAAAAAAATTGCAAGGAATATACACTGTAAGTACTTACTTTGCAGTGGAATCTAACTGACCGAGAGCAGCTGCTAAAGAGCATGTGCCAATCGACAACTGACATACAGCCACACAGTGGTGAAAACCAACACAAATGAAGCCAGGAATACAGCACGCATAACAAGCTCCATTACTCCGCACATGACCAAGCAATGTACTCTGTTTTTCTATTATTTTATCGAGGGTCTGCCAGGACTGCAATGTACCATACTTAATGTTCCACACCATGATTACATCTAAATAAATATAAAAAATGCAGAGTGATGAGAAAAGAGCAGTTCTAACAGCAAAGTATAGTGTTACATGCATTGAGCTCTTTCAGAAAATATTCACATCTCAATAAAATGCTTTTTGTTTGAAACCCACCATCTCACTCTCCAGCATTCTTTAACATTATTACAGTTTAGCTTAAAACTTTCCATGGCTTGTGAGTCTCCCACTCCCTCAGACTTTCATCTGACCTTCCAAGAGGGGGGGCGGTTGGTAGTATTTTACTGAGCCACACATTTTCAATATGCCAATTTCAATATATTGAAGTTCTAACTTGGCTTCAAGTCTTGCCAGAATTAAAGAAATTATTTAACTAATTGCTCAACCTTGATGTGATTCCCTTTGTTTTTCAACTGGCCTCTTCGATGAACTCTGAAATTTTTGGACACAACAAGCACACCACTCTTCTTTTTGAAATTGTATCATTGATCAGTGATTTTTAGTTCTCTGCCTTCATAGTTTTATCCGATCAATTGTTGTACATTTTTAGTTTTAATTTTTAGAATATACATGTACTAAGGCTGTGGATTACCTGTAAACTAGCTGATTAGCTAAGTGTAAACCCCACATTAAATAAATTATTGTATCGTATCCTATCGTAAATACTGTATCGTATCATATCGACTGTATCATGTTACAGTGAGGACACTGAATGTTAACACTGAATGAAAATTTTTTGTACATTTTTTTAGTCACCATAGAAAGGAGGATCTTCATCTGAACTATCAACTATGTCCCTTCTGCAAAGCACATTGCTCCATTCTATGCATTCCACTTGGAAGTTTCCAATGGAGCATTTTTCGCTTCCATCAAAACCTCCAATAGTACCCAAGTGTTCATGCCAAGAACACTAATCTTAGACATTAGATGTAAAGCCTTCATTCTATAGTAAACAAAAAAAATATGTACAAAATATGTCAAGTGTTTGTGGTTTCCAGTTTCTTTCTGTAAAAAAAGTTCCACTTGTGTCATTCTTTGTACCTTTTAATTTTCCATCAATAGTACAGCTTCCAGAGAGACAAACATGGTCAGTGTCTATGGCTGACAAAGCAACAGATCCCTGTAAAGAATAAAACAAATTGATAAATTACAAAATCAGTACACATTATGTAATCTCTGCTTTACCGTACTGTTGTATTTAATCATATCTGTAGAACCTGCAGGCTACTTGAATTTATGGTTATAGCAGCCTCTGCAAGTAGACCTGTTTCTGGATGGAACAAGGTAAATTATGTTGACTTCGTTCTTTACATTAGCCAGGCCGTGAAATAAGAATTTAACAAAATTAACGACCTCTAAGAATACTTCATTTAACAAAAGAATGTTAAGACCTTGTTTTTGTTTCTTTCCTTGTGCATAGGTTGTAGCCTGCGAATTACTCTGCAGGAAAGTGCTGACATGTTTCCACTTGTGCCCAGCTGTAGCAATGTTTCTAGTTCTGTGATGCAAAGCGCTCCATTAGACCCTGTGTATCGAACATTAAACATATTTAAGTAATATACTTTCAAGGTAAACAGTTAAATTTTATTGGCAGCCAAGAAATACAGGGTCGGTGTGGGGGGAGGGGGGTACTGTTTCAACCCCTGTGCCAGGTAGACTAGTCAACAGCTTAACACGTCTAGGGAGAAGAAGAGAGGGCAAGGAAGTTGCTGTTCATCGGGAGAAGAGGAGAGCGCAAGGAAGTTGCTGTTCATCGGCAGATGACTAGGCTTGTGGGTTAAGTACATGATCGTATATATACTGTATATGCATGAATTGTATCATTTTTGCATTTTTACTCACAGTATGATGTGATATGATGTCCTTCCTCATGTACACAGCAAGACAGGAGTTCACAATCCTGAGATCAATAAAACAAAGTACAGTCAAACCTCAATTATCCGGACTCGTCAGGACCTCGGTAAATAGTCCGGATAATCGAGAGTGCGGATAATCGAAAACATGTTTATTAATGAGATAGAAATGTAAACAAAAGGTATACAGCAAAGAAAACATCATTTTAATTGTGAAATCTACACAGCCTGT